TAAACTCCTAAAAGTTCTTATAGGTGGACATTTCTTACACTGACACTAATTATACATTTAAAGTACATACATTTGGAGGTGAGGGAATCAATATAAAAATAAAAAGGGGGACACCTGTCATACTTTCAATAAAGATAAATTTAAAAATAAAGTACATAAATTTGACTCTAGAAGAAGAGTGGCACACAGAGAAGAGGGTAGAGAGAGTAGATGCAAAAAAGGGGGAACGCAAATGCAACTGGACATAGCGTGGGTGAGCGTCCCCAGCTCTCTTCTCGGTGCTTATTCCAGCGAGCATGCTCTGAGAGCACGGAGCTGGCTATTGCCTCGGGTGGTCTGTGTTTCCCAGGTGTAAAATCTCTTAATGCACTGGGTCTGATTCCAGGGTTTAATGGTACTGACTGCATTTTTTCCCCATACTGTGCAGCCTCTAAGTGAAGCCAGGTATTCTTACTTAGGGCGGCAGCAAGTAAAGCAATTTACTCTTACTGACTGTAGGTTTTCATGTAGCACGTATCACAAAAGGATTTCTGACTACATGTGATTTTCATCTCACCTTCATGTCTCACGTCTCACCCTCAGACCTGCATAGATCACCTTGTCTAAAATTTCTGATCATACCTTTGACCCCCATCCTGGCATTCACAATTACCCTGGGATATTTTTCCTTTCTACATAGCACTTAGCTCCTTCTAATGTACTAAATAATTTATTTATTTTTTATATTTATTGTTTGTTGTAAGTTTCTCCTCACAAAACCCAAGGCCCATACTGGCATATTTGTTGTTTGATTAAAGGATGTATCTCAAGTACATAGAAGGGGCACTTAGTAATATTTGTTGAAGAAATGCATGTAGGAATTTTCAAAAGTGATGCCCTTGGAAATTCACCATTGCAGGGGCTGTGACTACTCCATTAAATGATGTTTCCTGTCATTGTTTTTAATCAATATTCTTGTCTGAACTTTTCCTAATGTAATATGAAAAACTAGTTTAAATGAAAACTTGAGCTATATCATTCAGTTTTTAAACCTGATTTTTTAAAATTTTTAATAGTGAACAGAAATATGTGAGATAAATAAATATAAATAAAGCATGTGGGGGACGCTCTCATTTACCAAATGCTGGGGTATGTTGATGCATGATCAGACATACTGAATAAAGAAGATGATAGGAACAAATGGATCCAAAATAGAAACTATAGTTTATTAGCAGGTAGATGAGAGCTTAATTGAGAGTTATTTAATTCTTAGAATTGGGCTTAAGCCATAGGCTGACACAATACATTAGCATAATAGAAAACAGCTTTGTCTAATAGCTAATAAAACAATTACAATAAAAACTAATAATTTTTATTACTTACATGATAAACTATTTTAGCTAGAACTCCCTATGCACTACTAACTGTGCCAGGAGGACGTCCAAAATTAAACCTAAGAAAAGTAGCATAGATTGAGAATACAGAGACAACTGCATTGAGCGATTTTTCAAAATGCGTAGCCATAGTATTAGTATTATTATTTCCCTAGCATGTAAGTAGAAAACTGTACTTATAAAGCAAATCCCACCTTTTGGAAAATGTGCTAAAATATTTCAAAAGCACACAGTGTTTTGAGCATACATTTCCAAACTGATTTATGCTTCACTCATATGTGACTGAGACAAAATATGGGTGATGCCACAATTCAGTCCATTTTAAATAGGCAAATGAAAACCACTAATGGTATTTAGACTAACAGTGATTAATAACTTAATATTTGATGACATATCCAAAAATTTCAAAACTCAAAGAAAATATAAACAAAACGTTGCAAGTTCCAAACAAGTAAACACTATTAGATGTTAAGTATAAATCATTCACTAATGAAAAGAGCCCTTTTAAAATGTTAGTACTTTTGCTTAAAAGAGCAACCTTAAGAGACCCTGTGACTGTTCCCTGTTCAGGCAGGAATTGTCAAGAACATGTACACTTAGTCCATTAGCTGCATGTAAATGGAAAACCTTCGTAGAACATCACAAGGAAGCTAAAAAGAAACAAATCTATTTACAAAGATGTCAAATTAATCAAGATACCTGAATTTTCTCAGTGTCAGAATATAAAATCTTCACTGCAGCATGTTGTCTATTCATTCTCAGTTATTTAAACCAAAATGTTATTTGCAGTAGTTCAAACTATAAAATGTTTACAGACAGCTTATGTGCTATGTTGAAGCATCTATTTATACAGTTGATGTAATCAGAAGGATCTTCTCCACCTCTCAATGTAATCTTACAATCGGCAACATTGCTACTTGACTACATCCATTCATCTTCTACCCTGTTTTAATAACACAAGTGACACCTAAGAAATTATTCTTTGATCTTTCAATAAACTAAGCCTGTGCAGACAGAGGAAGGTGAAAGAGGTTAAATTGGCATTGATTATTTAAGACACATTCATCATTTATTTAACAATCTCCTTCACCACAAAAACTATTGTGTTTACAGGCCGTCGCTGAGACACTCTGAATTTATTTTTCAATAATTCTTGTCATGTGCATTTCAAATCAGAGCACATTGTACAATAACATTAGTTTCAAGTCTCCTGATGAATCTGTTACAGGATAGAGTAGTTTATTGTTCAAACTTTGAACTTATTCACTGTAGTGGATGTGCAGAAATTTCTTTTAATAGTTTTCATTATAATGAATGTCTTACAAGGATTCTATTTCTTATCTGAAGCAAAATGTGCAATAACACCTATCTTCCCAAAGAAGTTGCATTAATGCATACTTGAAGTCTCTTATATTTTGACATGCATATCACTAAAACATGATTCATAATGATTCATAAAGAAAAAATTGTGGCTAGTATTTGGCATCTTTAGGAAGGAAGAAGGGAGTATAAGAATCATCCATAACATGCAAAATTTCTACAAGACATTTCATTATTTTTCTGACAACTATTACTGCAAATTATAGAGGTATAATGTTCTATGTGGGTATGTAGAAATTTTTTGTGTGAAAAATTATGCCAAACTATATTTCCTGAGAAAATGCAAGCAAAATATTACAAATTAAAAGATAAATTATTGTCATTGCATATGAAAATGTGAAAATTTAATTTTAAATAGATATGGAAAGTACTAAAAACATATCATAGTCATAGAAAAATTACTGATGAATCATATATTCCAAATAGTCACACTAGTCATCACTTTTGAAATGCTTTACTTATTTTTAATTTATTTAAAGATTTTCCTCCCCAGGTTTTTCCATACAAAATGCTCTAAAGTCCATTACTACAGTTACCTCTAGTTACTGACATAAAGTTCTCTATGCATATATCTAGTAATTAATTTTCTGATTGTGATTCTTATATCCTAGAATATATCACCAAGAACTGTGAACATGAAGTCTTTAAAAAAGATTATCATTCTATGTTAACAACTACCAAAATAATAACAGACACTAGTACAAGGGGATCCTTTGGGGACTCACTACCAAGAAATCATTATTCTTTTACACAATTTAATCTAGGAAAATACATTAAACTCTCACTGTCATATATGAAAAAGGCTAAGAACAATAAGGATTTGACAATGAGCATTTAATAATAGGGCTTAACTATGTTCCTAGTTTTAATTTTAATTTTTAGTTACTAGAGAACTAAATAGCACTGAAACAAGAAACATTATGTAGAAACAAACCAAAAAAAATTATGAGGCCTAGATGGGTAAATACTTAAGAGGCTGCTACTAGCTTCAGCTTAGTTAGCCCCCCACAGGTGTCATTCATTTCTTAGCAACTCTTTCTCATAAGCAGTCCTAGCAATGGTGCAGATGTCTTACACCCTGTATTTAGATTCAATCATTTAGACATTTAGAATTCAGCCTCCCAAACATAATTTCCTTATATTGGGTAAAATGGGATAGTTGTCCAAATTCAAAAGTGTTTTCACTTTTTTAAAGAATACATTACTTTTAATAAAAGACTAGACTTTTACCAGTTTTCCCCAGAGGTTGATGCTCAACTGCTGAGCCATGCCAGCCGGGCCATAATAAATGTTTTTAAGGAGAAGAGAGAGTTCTCACAAAGCTTATCTACAAGATAAAGATAATTCTTCTAGTTTGGCCAGCATCTACCTATGATCCAGGAGATCGCAGTTCGATTCCTAGTCAGGGCACATGCCCAGGTTTTGGGCTCCATCCCCAGTTAGGGGTGTGCAGGAGGCAGCGGATCAATGACTCTCATCATTGATGTTTCTGTCTCTCTCTTTCCCACTCCCTTCCTCTCTCTCTGAAATCAATAAAAATATATTTTTTTAAAAAAGATAATTCTTCTATTTTTTTTATCAAAATAAAGTTTAGAGTCATAAACTTTGACAAAATGAAAATTTCATAGCTGCATTTAAGGAAAAATAGGTATTTGAATCAAAGTTATCCAAAATCACCCAGTGTTACTAGAAGCAATCTTCTATTCAAACTTGTTTTACAATCTTATTTTGACAGTTCAACAAGTATTTCACATTAAGAAAAAATGCTAACTTTCAATTAAATTACTTTCTGCCGCCTGCACTAAAGCCCAAGAGCTAAAATATTATTGCAAATTTATCTGCTAAGTTGTGCTTCCTTTTATGTGCCAGATTATAAAAATGATGTGCTTGGCTTTGGTGACTGCAAACTTTATTAAACTGTTAATAAATAAATTAGTGCTTTCTTAAAAATAAATTGTCCCAGTATTCTAACAGGTATCATCCACATGTCTGCTAATTAACTAATTCAAAAGACTGTATTAGAGATGTTGGTTTAAAATATAATAAAACATTGGTATGCTAGTCAGTGCCTGTAATCATCTTTTTCAGTTCCAGAAGGTATTTGGGGAGTCTTTAAGAGCAAAAGAGGAATGGTGCAGCACTAAATTACTTTAAATCAATGCATGGACACAGTAGCAGCAGAGGCAGATAAGCTGTGGAAGTCTGCAAACCAATAAAGGATAAAAATGGGTTTATATAGCTACTTACATCATAGCCCAGAACTTCAGTCTGTGTGGATTTATCTACTCTTGAAGCAAACGCCTTCTGTAAATGCTTTACTTTATCCTGCAAAATGAAAGAAAACAAAAAAAAGCACATTGTTGGTGAGTCACTGCTCCTCGACTAATACTCCCCACTCATTAACATTTGATGAGTGTACAATTCACGATACCCTGGGTGCACACTTGGCTCTGCTGGTGCTTTGTGTATCAGCTTAAATATTCACAGCTTTAGTTCTCAAGTCATAATTATCCCACCTTTGCCATCTTTTCTTTCAATGCAAAAACCACTGAGTCAGAATAACAGTTGAATCCTAGAGAGGGACATGATTTGCTTAAATCCAAGACCAAATGTTTATGCTGTTTCTGCTTAGTCATGTTCTGTAAACTAAGTCCATAGGAGTTTATTGCTCTTGTTTCAGAGCATTTACATTTAAAGTCCAAAACATTTTCAATGAATAATACCCCCAGTGAATTCCATTTAGGTTCTTCTTCATCTTCTTAATTCTCTCGTGAAATTTGTACATGTAGGAATCTTTGCTTCAAGGGATTTAACACTAATCCAAACATTTTATAACTAGGTAAGGGAAATAATGCATGAAGGAAGTTAGAGATTTCCTATCTCAAATGCACTACTTCCCTTACCTAGCTATACAACAATATGTATTTAAAAATGTTAAAGAGGGGAAAAAAACTCCTTCAAAAGAGGTTAATATTGAAATACTATGGTAAATCCTCTTTGAACATAATAAAAATCATTTCTCAGTCCTAAAAATTTCACTTAAAATAAAGGGGGATCTTGAACTTCATTATTACATAATGGGCCGACTGTGTGCCTGGCACAGCTAGGGGTGCTCACAGGATCACATCTCATTTTTGAATTTTTACTACTATCACCACCATTTTCAATGAGAGCAATACAGTTTAGAAAATTTAACTTGAGGAAGTTTCCACAGAAGTCCATATGATCCCACTGGACTCTTTTATTGCCTGGGCTTGTTTTGAAGAATTTATTTTCTTTTGTTTTCTTTTGTATGCTTAATAAAGTAGTTGTATAACATCATAATGAACAAAACAATTCATCTTTTTCCAGGAAGAAACAGTGCTCATCAAGAATCTTATTACCAAGACCTCCAATTACACAAAACTCATCCTTCCCTTTCCCTCCCTGCCTCCTCCACTGTCCCCTCCTCGCCCCTCTCTATGCCCCTCAACTTGGCCTGAGATTTGCAAGTTATCAGAGTTGTTTAACAAAGTAACTACATAATTTCGGTAAACATAATTTATTTTGACTTACTAAAATACAGAAAATATGTTATATAATATTAATGTCTCATACCTACTAACTTCCCTATCACACAATTTCTAGGGCTGCTATTCAGTTAAAAATGGCACGGACATTAGATAATTCAGGAAGATGTAAAGTGAGTGCGGTAAGATGGTCATTGTCTGAAAAGGATTAACTGAAAACACGGCTGCATTTTCCAAGCTAAACAAAAATAATACATAACAAGTTGCCTACTTAGATTTATTCTGGGGCTGGGAAAAGAAAAGGGAGAAGCAGTAGTAGGTAAAGGAAGCAATGAAGTTTGATATCACTGAAGGGTTGTTTAGAAAAATTTATTTACTTTTGAAACAGGTTGAAGTCATATGTATCAGAAAAGTAAGTTTTGTTATAAATCTGTAGGCATATAAATGTTTGTATATGAATTAGAGAGCATGACCTAATGAGAGCAGGGAAGACTAGAGAGCAAATGCATCCATTATGTTTCAGCCCACATTTCAATTTCAAGGGCTTCCACTGTGAGGATAGGAGTTGGAAGGGACTGATAAACTCCATCTCATTGGTATAAGTTCTAAGACTCAGGAAATCCAAATAAACATAAATGAAATATTCAAACAGCCTCATTAAACAATATTCTAATCAGAGCAAAACAAACAAAAGCCCTAAGTCGAGAATAGTTATATTCAAGAACTTCAAAAATAAAGACAAACTTTTCTAACAAAATTCACTGCTATTCCCTTTTGTAAGCATTTCCACAACAACATGTCATATTTTAATTATTTATTATGTATGCACTTAATATTCAAATGTGGCAATTTCAAATGTGGAGAGTAAGTTATGGTCCCAATAAACTTAGGTGCACATAAATAAGAATTATATATTTTATTTAGATCAATAGTAGGAAGAAAACATGTCATAGTTTATAATAAATTTTTATAAAATACAATTAGAAGATTTAATAAAGACTATATAGATGTTAGAAAATAATTATCCATGGTTTCTTGCATTTCTGTTAAATGAGTATCTGTAGATTGATAAATTTGACATATAATAGAAAAATTATTATAGATAATCAAAGAGAAAATATACCACAAAAATAGCTATTACTCGCCCTGGCTGGTGTGGCTCCGTTGGCTGGGTGTCCTCCTGCCCACTGAAAGGTTGCTGATTTCATTCCCAGTCAGGGCACATGCCCAGGCTGTGGGCTCGGTCTCTGGCATGAGGCATGCAGGAGGCTGCCAAAAGAGGTTCCACCACTCTCGCATTAATGTCTCTCTCTCTCTCCCTCTCCGTTCCTCTCTCTCTAAATAAAATCTATAAAAAAAAATCTAAAAAAGCTATTACTGGATGGTGAGGTTACAGATACTTTTTATTTCTTATGTAAGAAATGAATATATGCAGGGTATCCCCAAAAATGTAGACACACTTTTAATAATTATATATTCCAATGGGGTAAAACAAAAGAAAGAAACATCAGTTGAGCTATTAGCTGTTAAAGTGTGTCTACATTTTTTTGGGACACCCTATATGTATTAGCGTTTTCTTAAATTTTGAAATATTACTTTACAATTAAAGGCCATAAAATATTTTAACACAATTACCCCTGGCCAGGTGGCTCAGTTGGTTGGAGGGTCGCCCCGGGTGCTACGGGAGGCAACCAATGGATGTTTTTCTCTCACATTGATTTTTCTCTCTCTCCCCTTCCCTTCCTCTCTCTCTAAAAAAAGAATCAGTAAAAGCATATCCTTGGGTGAGGATTTTTGAAAAAGTATTTTAACAGAGTTACAATAGAACTTATTTAAATACCTCATTTTACCTAATACGTAAGACAACCAAAAGGAAGCAACATGAAGAGAAAGAGTTGAAGAATAGTGATCTTCATTTTTCTTGACCACCAATTAATTTGCTGTCTTTCAGTATTGTTCTTTGTAAGCAAATATAATTCCTTCTTCTAACCTCTCTCAGAGGGATAGGAGGGGATTGAAACAACTCAACTTCTGTAGATACATTTTATAAGTAAATGTATACCCTGGATAAAATCTCATTTTTTTAAGTTTTCCTTTCCACACAGAAACAATATCAATACTTAACAAAACACACCTTTTTTTTTTCCTTTCTCATTTAAGATTAATAAAACATAGAATCTGCTTAAAACAGGTGTGAAATTTTTTTGATAGCAATATCATAAATTAAGCAGAGTAATACAAAAATATATTCTGTTTAAGCTGTCAGAATAATTTATTTTTATTTTAGAATTATATTTATATTTATTTACATCATTAGATACTCTCCTAACAAAAACAATTGTGAATAATATTTAAAATTCTAGCATTTCGCCCAGCCGGGCGTGGCTCAGTGGTTGAGCGTCGACCTGGCATCCAGGCGATCGGGGTTCGATTCCCGGTCAGGGCACATGCCCGGGTTGCGGGCTCAATCAATGACTCTCTCATCATTGATGTTTCTCTCTCTCTCTCCCTCTCCTTTCCTCTCTCTGAAATCAATAAAGATACATTAAAAAAATAAAATAAAATAAAATTCTAGCAGTATATTAACTGACATGATTTATTTTTACTTTAGATAGTAATACCTATTACTATCTACTAGAGCAGTTTAGAAATGTTATGCATGTTTAACTATGTGCTTTAAACCGAGCTGAAAGGAAACTATTCAGTAATCTCAAGCTATAACTTCATTTTATATTAAATTATTATTTTAATCACCTACATAGACTTTGCTGAAATTCACCTACAATATGAAAAGGAAATGAACTTTTAAAAAATAGAACTTGAGGGACTACTTGTAATAATTAGCTTTAGAATCCATAATAAAAGAAAATGTACTCACATTATTTAACAAAATTAACAGAAATCTGACAAAGGAAACATATATAACAGCGATTATGACACTACTACATGAATATGTACTTTGAGGCTGAAGGGAAAAACAAACAAAAGCATCTGTATTGTTATCCAAAATATGCAAAATAATTTTTTTTAAAAAACTGTGTTTAAGTTAGAAAAAAAGAATATCTTAACAATGTAAAAAGAACAGAAAGATTACTTAAAATAGTATACTTGTAAATTTAGATCCTAAATCATGAATCCAAGGGTTACATTTATGGAAAGAAAAATAATATTAATAGACTGATATTCTGAAAGAGGAGAAAAGCTAACTTTTAAAATTAGCAATATAACTCAACACAAGAAAATGCACAAAGTGTTCTCGGTCAGGTTTAAAAATGTGGTGGGGCAAAAAAATATTTGAACACATCTGATAATGAACTTCAATATCAATCGTAAAAGAGTACTTAAAAACAAAAGCAAAAACCTAAAGGAGATATTACTGGGGTTGTTTAATGACGTCAAGTTCAAGGAGGAGCTGGGGAACGAAAAGGCCACAGCACGGAGATCACAGGATCTTCACCCACCTTACTGAGAGCACATCACCGGAGACATCAGCAGAATTATAAACAAGCACAAGGGTGATCGAGCAAATCAAAGCTCCTCACATAGAACACGAAGTTTCTTGGATATTAAAATGTATTAATATTATTTTCTTACGTTTTTTATGGAAAATAGCTAACGTAGAACAAAAAAATAGGGAGAATAATGCAAAGAATCCCTATACAGATATTGGAAGGCAAATAAGAAGTATTCGTTTTAGCTATATACTTAAATAGTTCCACTGGCCAGTACTGTCCTTCAACACAGATAACAGATGTTTGCATTAGAGGACCCTGCCCTGGAGGCAATGTCAGTAAATCAACAAAACAAACATCTGGA